CAAGCCAGGGTAACTCTAAGCTGGTGCTTAGAATTCTCCTTCCTCATCACCACCTACTCGGTATGAACGCTGTCTCCAACACATGGGACCCCAGCGCTCGAGCTGTGATGACAGTGGGGCCAGCTGATGGTGCAATGCTTGGGAAGCTCTGCAGGGAGGAGTTGTCATGCACTACAGGCCATGCAGCACCAAGGGGTCAGGCTGTCTGGTGACAGGGAGGTATCTATGGCTGGCAGGCCGAGCCAAAGAGTTTGCAGGGCCCAAGGTGGCACGCTGACAGCAGGGTCCAGCTGGTGGATGCTCTAGTTTGTCAAACCCAGCTGAATCCAACCTGGGCAACATAAGTCACCCACTGGATATATTCCACAAGACACTGGCCAGGTCAGATTCTCTGCTGAGCTGTGTGACTCTCCCCTCCATACAGATCAAACACAATCTGTGGCAGACAGGGAGAAGGGTGAGTGGCTCAGGGCTGCATCCCAGCTCATTAGGACCAAACAAGCCTAGAGCTGCCAACAAACATGTAAGCCTAGCCAGCCCCCCCTCTCCCTCCCTCCCAGCATCTTGCCAATGTAGCCGGGCTGGAGCCCAGATGCCTACCGGGGAAAACAGGGGGACCCTGGCTGCGGCAGTGGCAGGGCGTCAGGCTGTGGGGCTGGCCGGGTAGCTACCTAAGGAAATCTCCTGCACAAAGGCCAGCAAGATGAGCTGCAGCAGCAGCCCCACAGTGACACAGGTGACCAGCGTGTCTAGCACCAGCTCCATCTGCAGCCCCTTGTATTTGGGCTCAGTGCGGCACGGGGCCCAAGGCAACCCCCTTGCTTGCCTTGCCCTTAGTCTGGGCCTCATGGCTGGGCGGCTCTAAATTTCCCCACTTTGATTCTCAGAGCTCATCCCTTTCTCCATCTAGACTTTTCACAGAAAAAAACCCAGCTCCCCTAATTTACCTCACATGTCACGCCAGACTCGCTTCGCTGGAGGGAAACCAGCCTCAGCTTCTAACAGTAACCAGCTACTAGGCCAGAATATTGTATAAAGCAAATGGACCATGATATTTAGCAAAGAGAAAACCGTTGTCTCCTTAGCTGTGCTCTCTCCTCTTCTTCCTAGTCATTAGGTTTTCTTCTCCAGCTTAGGTTTTTGACCTGCAGTTCCATTAGTTGCTTATTTTTTCTCATGCCCTTTCTAACATGTCTGGAACTGGCCTTTCTTCCCTACTCCATCTTTCATCTTCGGAGGGGTTTTTTCTCTCAGCCATTCTCTGAGCCAGCCTCTCCTTCAGCCCCCACTCCTTTAATTCTCTCCTCTTGACTTCCACAGCAGTCTTGTTAGTCCTGTCTCTCCACCAGTCCCCCTTCCACAGTGCCATCATTTCTCTCCAGTTTTCTCTCCTCACCTCCTTCTTTGTTTTTCCTCAGAACAAGTTCTAGGTTTCACAGGAGTGAGTGACAGAGTAATTTTTGGAGGGTTGCACTCCAAATGCTGGTGAGCTGATGGCCTGATCCATATAGAAACATAAGGACTACATCACCAGCTCAGAGCAGTGGTCCATCTAGTATCCTGTCTCCAATAGTTGCAAGTACCAGCTGCTTCAGAGCAAGGTGCAAATAATGCTATAAAGGGCAATTTGTAATTCCCACCAATTTATCCCTTATAATTTTTCCCTATCTAAGGGTGTCTATAGATATTCTCATTCACCACGTAATGACTAATCCTTTTATGAATCCTGCTGCCATGATACCTTGTGGCAGTGAGTTTCACAGGTTAATTGTACAAAGTATTAAATAGCATATCCTTTGTTTTCTGTATACTTCTAAACTATCCCAGTCTTTCCAATATTTTCTCCTATTGAAGTCTCCCCATGTCACATCATTTTCCTTGCCTGTATTTTATCCCCTTCTATTTATTCTTCTTTTTTTTTAATTGATCAGCGCTGAGCACAGTGTTCAAAATGAGAACATCCTACTCATAGGTATGGCACAATAATATTGTTGCCCTTTGGTCCAGTACTTGGGACTTTTCAAATTTGTATTATGAGGGGGAGAAATTAACTATAAAACACAGGTATGGAAGAAGCAATCATGTTTATTTACAAAGAATGTTCACTAAAGTCCTGTTCCCCGTGCATACAGTAGGAGCAACCCCCAATGAACATGGCTTAGGTCTCACCTTGGCCTTGGGTAATTCCAACCTAATAGTTTGCAGTTGTTTTTAAGCCCATAAAGAAACTATATTGCACCTTCTATTGAGAGGGTTGAGAATGGCTTTACAGAGTCCTGTGATTGCCTTTGGATCTAAGGCTGTGGCTAGGGAACTTACTGAAGTGCAGCTGCCTTTCTGTGGCTGTGAGGGCTCCTGTGCAGCTGCTCTATGCCAAGGAGAGAGAGAGAGCTCTCTGGCCAGCATAATTAAACCACCCCCAACAAGCGGCTGTAGCTCTGTTGGTGGGAGGGCGGCTTCTGCTGACAAATCACTGTCACGGCCGTGCTTTTGTTTGTGAAACTTGTCAGTAGGGGATGTGATTTATTTCCCCATACCCCTTCTGGACAAAAATGCTAATGTAGTGTAGACCGTAGCCATAGGCTCACATGGTGGCAGCCATTAGCACCTTTCAATGTTATTTTCCACTCCTTTCCTTAAACATCATAACATTTTGTTTCCACGTTGAGCAGAGGTTTTGAGTCAACTGTCCACAATGACCCTCAGGTATTTTTCCAGAAATAAAGCTAATGTAGAACCCGGTCCTATGCGTGAGCGCTTCAGGTGATTCCTTTCTAGGTACATAATGTTGCACTGAGACACAAGGCGGCGGAGGGAATATCTTTTATTGGCACAACTTCTGTCGGCAAACGAGGCCAGCCCTCTGAGCCACACTTCTTCAGAGCCGAACGATCATGTGGCATAGCTACAACACTGCAAATTACATTGCATTGGTCAACAGTAATCAGAATCTGCCCATTCAGCTGGCTGTTAGATCCCACCTTCTCTTGTCTTGACTTACCTCAGTACTTGCATGTCACTGCACTATTTTGCCACCTTATTTTATTGCACATTTCCTTTTCCAGATCATAAATGGCAATACTTGTATGGAAAGCACTAAGCCTCATGTGGAACGCTGTGGCTTCCTGCTGTTAATTTTTAATAACCTCTTTATTTCTCCTCTTTGTTTTCTCCTTGGTAGCTGTTCTGTGTTATTCTCAGGAGAACTTTACTTCAGAAGCTGCACTGGTGAACCACTCTCATAACGTTACCACTGATGGGCCTTACAGTTCTATTTTTAATGATCATTTCAACACGCGCATCCCCTCGTTTTTACTACTTTCCTTGTGCCACTCAGTGCCATAAATTGCAGCCCCCAGCCAAAGAGAAATGGATGCAATGTCTTTGCCATGTCTAATCCACCTTCGCAGACCTCTTGTAGTGGCCTTGAAGCACCACCTTTGTGCTTTATCCTCTCCTGGATCATCTGGAAGTCATTACCTTGCTGCATTGGCCGCCCTATAGTGCGGTCATTAGTTGTGAAGTTGTGTGAGCCAGGTTGTTTCAATGTAGCTTTCAGGACAGGTAGAAAACACAGATGGGAACCATTTAATTGAAGCCATGCCAACAAGAGATACACACAGAAAACCAGATCTCCTTCCCACTTTTTCCCATCCTTTGTATGTCCATACATCTCCGCTCCACTGTTTCCTGCATGCTTTACAGCTGCTGTTGGCCTGGGGATCTCTCTCTCACACACACACACACACACACACACAAAACGCTGCTGTCTCCACTGAACATCCTCATCACATGAGACTTGTGCTCCCAGCATTGGGTTGACCAGACAGCCCCCACATGGTGTGTCTATGTTTGAACGAGGCTGCAGCAGTCATTCCATATTTCAGGCTGCACCAAAATCTCTCCATAAAGCTCTCTGTGGGGGTTGCGGGTGGTATCTGTGTGCGGCGATCTTCCTGGCAGGCATGTGCACACATGCCTGCGCCCTGGAGCTACACGCCTGGGAGATGTGCTTTCCTGGCAGGTAGGTGCAAGGGAGCATGAACCAGAAGGTCGTGCTTCTGGGCTTAGGGGGGCATGAGGAAGGGGCATCCGCGACTGAGATGAAGTGGTGCTCGCCTGCCCAGAACCTGTCATGAGCATGTGCACCTGGCACTGTGTGTTTCAGGGGGATGCCAGCTTACCTCTCCCACTCACGCCCCCACCCCTGCTTCCCCTCCTCCGCCAACTCTGGTTATTAAGAGCCGGAGGCAGAGCTGAGCCGGAGATGCAGCAACTCTCTGGCTGCCTTCCTCCCTGTGAGTATCCCTCACCCTCTCCTCTGGCATCTTCTCTAAGGGGGCGGATGGCTGGACATAAGGGTGGCTAGTGACAGATGGTTCCTCTTAATTACCCAGCTAAGGGGATGGGGAAGGGAGCAAGAGACAGCCTCTTCCCAGGTCCCCCCCTCACCCTCCTCTCGCCTGGGGGCTGGCCAAGCAGGAAAAACTGCTGACAGGTGAAAGGCAATGGGAAAATCAGTTGCATCAGGAATCCCAGGGAGCGGAGGACTCAGCAAAATAAATAAGTAAAAATAGAAAAACAGAGAGAGCGCGCGAAGCCAGGGCTGCTCTGCGGCGGCTGCACGGCCGGCTGCACTGACACTCATGTCTCCTCCCCCCAGCGAGCAGCTTCGATCCAGGGATGGGCCGGAGAGCAGCGGGGCCCTGATGGATGGATGGATGGATGGATGGATGGCTGGACGGACAGGCGGACGGGGTGGGGGAGGGTAACGCGGGCCCGGAGTCTGTTTGGAAACTCTCTCCGCCGCCTGCCCTCCCCCTCCCCTGTTCTTTCTTGCCTCCTCTTTCTGGCTTTCCAAGAAGCCAGAGCGGCCGCTCTCCCCCGATCCGGCGGGGGGCGAGATGCCCCAGGAGGGCAGAGCCACGTAGGTGACTGCTGGGGGGCTACCGCAAAGGCGGGGAGAGGGGCGAAGGCGGCGGGGGGCATGTCAGCAGCGCCTCGAACTCTCCGGCCGGTCCGGGGGGCGGAGCAGGCTGCAGGGGGCCGGGGCGCCCAGCTGCATGGCGAGCAGCGCGGAGCCCCCGCTGCGCCGATCACAGAGCGCTCAGTGTGCGGGAGAATGCTCCTTTGTGGCCCAGGAGTGTAAACACTCTTCTCTGTCTCCGCCCCCTCCCCGCCACCGGCTCCCTCTCTCCTCTCCCCCATCTCGCCTCTGCCCCTCTGTCTCTCCTGTCGCGCCTCTCCCGCTCCGGGTTTGCCCCTTCTGCCTCCTCACTCCCCTCCCCTGCTTGCCATCCCCGTCGTGTTCCTTCCCCCCCACCCCCATCTTCCACAGGGGACTTCACTTCGCCAGGATACCGCTTTGCCACTTGGCCCCAGCCACCACGGAGAGAACACAGGACCCCCCCTTGGGCCCGCCGTGTCCTTTTGACGGAGCGTTCTGGGTCCAGAGACCCCCCCCGGAGGGGGGCTTTGCCTGCTTTCCCAAGCCCCCTGCCATCCAGCCGGCGTCGCCCGCCCTCGCACCCGCCTCTGCTGCTTGCTTCATGGAGAGCAAGAGCTGCAAAGGGGACAGCCTGCGGCCAGCTGTCCAGTGCAAACACTCGGTGGAGAAGAAGACAATGACTAACCCCACCACCGTGATTGAGATCTACCCGGACACCACCGAGGTGAACGATTACTATCTCTGGTCCATCTTCAACTTCGTATACCTCAACTTCTGCTGCCTCGGCTTCATCGCCTTGGCCTATTCTTTGAAAGTAAGTACAGATTGCATGGGGAGTCGAGCCACAGCTGATGCAAAGCGGCGTTAGGCTGTTGAAGTCAGCAGAGCAACCCCCGTTTACCCGCTGTGGCGTTAATCATACCCAGGGAGGCGAAGATCTGTGGAATGGAAAAGTTTTGTGCATGGGGTGGGTATCCATGGCGCTCTGATACCAAGGGGATGGGCACCACAGAAGAATCTGGCCAGGGGGATAAGCAGTGATGGGAGGTTTACAGTTCTCACTCAGGCTGTGGGCTTGGTGATAGTGTCCTTAGTTCTGATAACTAACACAGTTGGATTTTCTAGTAGAAGGACCAATAACTTCCTCCCTGTGTAGCCAGAATCTCTCAGCATCTGGAGATCTGTGTGGGGCAACACCCATCGCTGTAGGAGAGGGCTTCGAGGCGCTGGGGAATCCTTACTGCAGATAGGCTGCCGCGGGCAAGGGTGTATGATGATATTAAGAGGTACTTCGCAGCCTCCCAGCACTTTTCAAATCTAACTTAATTCAGCCTGGCAATATTGCTGC